CTCCCAGTTTACTGGTGCTTTTCAATGGACAACTCAGCAACTGGTCCCTGAAAACTGTGTCCAAACTAGTCTATATCCTATCTTACCTTCTAAATTTCCATATATGCTACCTTATTTCACATTAGAGCTGCTTTTAGCAGCTGAACAAATTGAACAAACAAGACTGAAAAGGTTAGGCAGCTAAAAGAGTATAGTTGTAAAAGACTATACTTTTATAGTATTCAATCTTACTTTAAAAGATTGTTGCCCTTTTCTCAGAGGCAACCCACATTATACTTTTTTGAGACTCTGGGGGTGGGGGGGGGGGGGAATGGAAGCCAATAGCAATCAGAAGACAAAGATTGGTTCTGTTACAAAGGACACTGGGACATCTGCTGGAAGATCAAGGCACAAAGAGCAAGAGAATAAGCCACTGCCAACCCCACTGAATGTGAGGTGCAGTGTGGGCTGTTCTGCAAACAGCTCAGACTGCATAGCTGCAAGGTGGCTCAGTGAGTTGTGTGAACCTGCCAAACTGCAGAAAAATTCCATGCTCCTAGAAGAATATCAAGTACAATCTGTCTCATTGCTAGGCATCCAGGGATATCTGTGTCTAATTCATAGACTCATAGAATAGTAGAGTTGGAAGGGGAGATGGAGGCCATGGGGTCCAACTCCCTGCTTTCGCAGGACACCAAGTTACACCATCTCGCACAGATGGCTGTCCAGTTTTGCCCTGAATGACTCTAGTGTGGGAGATCCCACCACCTCTTTAGACAGCGTGGTTCCGCTGTCATATTGCTCTGACCATGCGATTTGCTTTGCAAATTTGATTCTTTCCTTGTACTTCCTCATATAAATCATTAATAAAGATGCTGAAGAGTGTGTCATGTAGTTCTTTCACAGTGGATTTCTCACTAAAGTAACCTAAAGCAGTTCAAGAGTTCTACTGCTTCCACTGGTGCAGAGTGCCTCCTAGTCTTCTGCACTGAACTGTCACACTTTTCCAGGGAGTTTCCTCATTTTCCCTTCTCTCGGAGTTTTCTTTTTCTCCTCAGCTTGTTGATGCTCTTCATGCTTCTGGACTACACTTAGCTACGGCAGCTCCTCCAGTCTGCTCTTTGTTTTCTTTTATTATCTGAAGGGCGGACACTTGCTGCTCCCTTGCCCTTTCCTTTACTGGTAACAGAGCTACTAGGACAGAACTGCAGAGTCTCCTTGGATCATTGTTTGTGAACCTTAGTGATTCTGTCTTTGGGGGGATGTTGTAACATCTGGAGCTTTCAAATGTCTTCAGTAAAGGTTAGCAACACAGCCCTACTAGTAAGTGGGAGTGTGTTACAAGGAAGAAAATGTGCATGTGCGTGTGCGCAGATATGAAATAATGAAGAGAAACAAAAGGGGAAAGATATTAGGGACCTCCCCCTTGGCCTCCCCTGCCAAATTCCTGTTTGCTCTCCCCATTTCCTTGCTCTGGTTGCTCACTGAGAGCATGGCTGCTTATATCCCAGAGGCCCTAGACCAGCAGGGGCAGCTTGCTCTGGTGTGCTCTGCTAGGAGTCAGGAACCAGCATGGTTTCCCCTAACTTGGATGCATTAAACTGTAACTCCCTTCATGCCACCTGACTGCTGACCATACTTGCTGGGACAGACAGCAGTTGCAAGCCAAAACTTCTGAAAGGCACTGGGTTGAGAAAGGGTGCTTCAGCCAAGAAAAGGAATCTCGAGGTTCCCCATGTGGTACCTACAGGAGATTTTATTAATTTTATTGTTTTATTGTTATTAACAAATAATGACATTATAGTCTTATGAGTCTTGAATGATACCCAGGTATGCTGACTGAGTAACCTTCACACTGAACAGAGCTATTTGATTAACTCCTGAACATATCAGGAAGCTAGGATTCTGTTAAACCAAGATTCTATCAAGGTTTTGGAATGCTGTTTGCAGTATTGCTCCCTCTAGGGCCAATTCTCCTTGTTTGGTGGAAGTAGCTGGGTAAAGAAACCCTACTTCCTCACTAGATGATACTTTGTTATTTGTCTTATTCTAACCATAATCTAGCAATTGCAGAGATAAGAAATTACTGGATATTTGCTTGGGTGTATTTTTTCCAGACCTTTAAAAATCTGCACCTGTATCTAAGGCAGAACCCTAACCCTGAATGAAAAGGGCTAGGAAAAATGGACCACAAGTACAGGCATCGCAGCGGATTTTTAAAATGCGAGAATGCTATCATTTTTTGACCCAGCTTGTTTTTTCCACCCATTGTAAAGACGACTCCAACTTCAAAAGTTTCATGGGGACCATGGTATTTCTAACCCAAACCTGAGCCTGAACTTCAACCATAACTCTAAAATACAGGTAAATGACAGGCATCACAGCAGATTTTTGAAATGTGACAATCCTGCCTATTTTTGGCCAAGCTCATTCTTCCTGTGCATTCTAAAGACAATTCCAGCCTAAAGTGGTTCCACGGGACAGTAGTTTATCTAACCCTAACCCTTTGATTGTGTGGATCACAACAAATTGTGGCAAGTTCTTAAAGAGATGGGAGTACCAGACCATCTTATTTGTCTCTTGAGGAACCTATATGCGGGTCAAGAAGCAACAGTGAGAACTGTACATGGAACCACTGATTGGTTCAAAATTGAGGAAGCAGTTCAGCAAGGCTGTATACTGTCACCCTGTCTATTTAACTTATATGCAGAGCACATCATGAGAAAGGCGGCGCTGGATGAATCACCAGTTGGAATTAAGATTGCTGGGAGAAATATCAACAACCTCAGATATGCAGATGATACCACTCTCATGGCAGAAAGTGAAGAGGAACTAAAGAGCCTCTTGATGCGGGTGAAGGAGGAGAGTGCAAAAGTTGGCTTGA